TGTTTTACACTCACAAAAAAGAAACCTATCATTCTATAGGTATTGGTGGTAGTGTCCAGGGTCACTGATGAGGAGTGGATTCTCCAAAACTAGTCTGGCTCACAGACACACACTCCCAAAGAAAGAATAGACCATTCCAAGCTTTTACTTCTTGTTAAACAAATGTTTAAACTACTCTATACAGTAATAAATGAATATTTTCATTTTTACAGGCTATCTAGAAAGAAATTGAGATTTCTTAAACTTAATGGAAAATGTATAAATAATTTACCTACATTTTAAACATTTCTGATCATTTTGGGTATAAAGTATTTACAAAATTATATAATACAAAGCTAATCATTATAGGCATATTATAAACATTTTGAATTTTCGTGTATTTTTTATTTTTTGGGGAACTCCTATAAATATTTTAGTTTCAGTGTGGTTGTGGTGTGTATATTAATTAGTGTTTCACTAACACTTCTCTTGCATTTACTTGATGTTATCAATTTCCATGAACTCTTATACTTGTATATAATCGTTTTAATTTTATTGTATCACACCATTGCTGAAACTCTTTTCAAATTGCATGGCCTTTGCTTTATCATGTTATTTGAGCTTTACTGTTGAGTAAGATAAATCCTTGAGCTACTAAAATGTTTCTACACAGTGTTTTCTTAAGAGTGGTAATAGGTTCAAGAAATTAAGTAGAGTAATCCACTGTTTTCATAGGACATACAGTTTTATTGTAGAGTGCCACCTGCAGGGTAATAGTTGAAGGTTGTTTGAAGTAATAAAAAAAAATAGGAAAACTTGTGAATATCTTTAGCTGTTCAAGTAATTATCTTGATGGGAACTGGAGTTTCAAGAAGTAAATGCAGGTTTTAATCTAATACTTCATTTAGTGACACATGTAATTTCTGGTCATATTTTGAGCATGTATATGATTTTTAGATTTCATATTTTTTTCTTGAAATTGGCTAATGATTAATAGTTATTTCTTTAACTTATCTCATTTAAAAGATTCTTCAGTGAAACAGCAATAAATTTATAGACTTAAAATGCTAAAATCTGGGGTTTGATTCCCCAAGGTGGACACAACAGATAGCCCAATGTGGTATTGTTCTAAAACAAACAAAGAAAATCACTGAAAATATATTATGAGTTAAATAAAAAATCAAGAGTATTTGAGTACAGTAACTAACTAGTTATTTATTGCTCAAACGTAAGTTACTCTGAAGAGTGTGGGTTAGGTAAAAAAAAAATAGCAAAAATCTCAGTAAGAAAAGTAAAACTATGAATGTTGAGTAATCGACAGGCTTACATTGTTTGCAAGAGGTAGAGCTACTTCCAATATAATCCTGTGTAAGAATAGAATACTGCTACGGCCTTTCAAATACAAATAACCTTGCAGCAGTTTCAAGACATATTTTACTTACTTATGTGCTTATGTTAAAAGGTTGCATGATGATAATTACTATTTAATAACTAATTACTCTTCATTCAGCTTATTCTCTGATAGTGTAGAAATTAGTAATTACCCAATTATCTCTAAGTTATAAACACCTTTTATACTCATCATTTCACTGTTAAATTTGTTTTTGTTTTATACAGAAGAGAAAATTTCTTGGGGATTCCTCATCAACACAAGTTCTCCGAGATCTTGAGATCTCTTTACGGACCAATCATATAGAGTAAGTAAAAACATAAACCATATTACATCTCTTTACGGACCAGTCATATAGAGTAAGTAAAAACATAAACTGTATTAGATCTCTTTACGGACCAATCATATAGAGTAAGTAAAAACATAAACCATATTACATCTCTTTACGGACCAATCGTATAGAGTAAGTAAAAACATAAACCATATTACATCTCTTTACAGACCAATCATATAGAGTAAGTAAAAACATAAACCATATTACATCTCTTTACAGACCAATCATATAGAGTAAGTAAAAACATAAACCATATTACATCTCTTTACAGACCAATCATATAGAGTAAGTAAAAACATAAACCATATTACATCTCTTTACAGACCAATCATATAGAGTAAGTAAAAACATAAACCATATTACATCATGTACACTGGTTCAGTCAAACATATAACTGTTTAGATAATAAGGTGCATGTATGAAAATTTCTTTTGTTCTTATTTGTTACTGGTTGTTACCTGTTTAATATCATATTGGATTGATTCACTATCCTTTAAAGTTTTGGAACTTTCTGAAGAAATGAAACAAGTCAGATGTGGATTTATGTCCCCCATGACACACTTTAAGCAATCAAAGTGACTTGCTTTGAGTGATCAAACCTCAAACTTTACTTCTTTGGGATTTCAGAACTGTTAATGGCAGGACTCATCTATACTCAAGGTCATTTCTGTGTATATGTGGGGGATTGTGGGTGCAAACAAACCCTCATTTGAACTACAAATAAACCTTAATTCCATAAGGCACCATATCCATATCCTTCATGTTAATAGTGAAACCAGTATATTTAGTATAACCGTGACATAGTGAATGTCCAGTGGTCCTATTTATTTGAAACCAGTATTTTTAGTATAACCATGATATACTATTTCTCAGTACAATATCAATGGTCAAGTACCAATAACATATCCTACACTATACTGAGCAAGCAAACTCCATATTATAAAATTATGTTTTGACGAGGATACATTATTCATATTTTCATTTATGCTGGGGCAACCAAATATGCTTCATAAAATTGTAACTATTTGTTCACACCTACATATTCCTACTGTGCATGACATGGTGTTTAAACTGAAGGATTCAAATAACAGTATTAAAAGTGTACTATATATTATATAATAACTGTTAAAAAGGGAGTTTAGATAAGTATAATTGTGACACGCTCATAAATTTCAATAAAGTAATAAGTAGCTAGTATCCATTTTATTTTTTTAAATGCATGAATATTTATTTAAACATAACTTGATCATCATTGAGCTCTCTTCATAACACATACAGATTTAAATATATATGTGTACATATTTCTAAGGAAGATGCATTATGAATACAAACAACCCCTCCCACCTAAGAAAACTTTTGTGACCCCATGATACCAAACATCTGTTAAAGTTCATATTTTATTTTAAGCCACATTTTGTTGAATGTTTTATGACAAATGATCTTATAAGATGTTAAAGTTTTCAGAAAGTTGAAACTGAGGAACAGCGATGTTCAAATGCTCAAGTTACTTAATCATTTTAATTTTTGTCATCATCATCATCATCATTGGACTAGCCTTATTTAAGATCAGTAACTAGATAATTTCAAACATTAATCATTGATATAAAAATGGGTTAGAATCCCACTTTGTTCCTTGTTTAAAAACTCGTAAATTTTACCTTAATTTTAGGTGGGTTCGAGAATTTCTAAATGAAGAAAACAAGGGGTTGGATATTCTTGTGGACTATTTAGCATTTAGACTCACAATTCTTAGGTAAGTTGAGCTAAATGGTCTATTTCCTTTATGAGTCTGATGAAAATGATTGGGTAAACATGCAGTTAGGTATCGAAATTATATTGAACTTATATATGAGGAACGATAATTGTATAATATCTTGTTTTTTGAATAAATAATAAGTTATATTTTTATGTAATATAGTGTTTAAACAATTTTAATAATATTTGGCTTTTACATGTATATGAATTATATTACTTTTTCAAAAATATTGAATTACAATTATGTGTCTTGTAAATGATATTAGAGATAGGGCCCTCTATACCTTTAGTATTGTTTGTTAAAATAATACATAAACTGTGTACGTTAGCATCATTTTAGAGAAATTTTATGTAATCAGTTTTTGATCTTGGAATCAGATTCAATTAAGAGGTAGAGATATAGCACAGTAAGCGAAGTCTTTGGGAGTCTTGTAGTCTTTTCAGTGAGTCAATCAAGAGTTCAGTTTCAAAGAAACAACTTGATTGTGTAGCTTAAAAATTGGGTAATTAGGCCTGAGTCTAGTATTGTTTGAGAAAGTAAAGTTATGGTGGCTAATAAACCAGTTATTCAAATCAATACACAAACTGTTTCTTGTTGTTTTAAATTTAATTTTAATTACACTTGTCATAATAACACATTAGTATTAGACTTATTTTATTTTTAAGTACTGTATTCTTTATTCAGTCCCTTAAGGTTTTATTCAACAATAAAAAGTGTATAATGATATTTCAACCACATTAAGAGGATATAGACGTGACGGACATTATATTAAATGTGATTTAAAATACTATTATACTGACTAAAAATTGTAGTATTTAAAAATATAATAAGCCTTTTACTAATGTCTTATAAGTGAAATTAATTATTGTCGTTAATTGTTATATGATATATTCCTTTTCACAGATTTTCCTGATATACGATGCACTGCTCTCACATGTTTAGCATGCATACTTATGGTTTTATAAAAGTCAACCCAATATTAAAGTTATAAAACTTGGAACAGTTAAAAAATACTCAAGGAATACAAACATTAGTTGAAGAAAAAAAAACTTTCCTGAATGTACTGTCTTGCCATCTTATAAAATTATATTTTTTTGTAGTTATTAAAGATATATATATGTATATAAGCAGTCGTAACTGACAATATTTTTATCCTTTCTGATCACACATAACTATGAGTGAAAGTATTTATATTTTTTAATAAGAAGTTAATTAATTGTGGTAATAAAACAAACGATAATTTTATTGAATTTGATTTACATCAGTTAAGCCTAATTTCAATATGGGCTATGAAATTAATATTTAATCCTAATATGTCTCATGTGCAGTTTTTGTAAACTGATTTACAGGCATGAACAAACTTTACAAGACCCACCTGTTTTTAACCATAATCATGAGAATGGGACTGTTCCTAATGGCTACCCTGCTTTACATCGATCCATTACTGAGGTTAATGCCCCAAAAGTTAGGAAGGCATCCAGACATATAGCCAGACTGAACATGGGTGAAGCTAAAGATGACATTCATGTGTCCATCATGTGCCTTCGTGCTATCATGAACAACAAGGTAATTTGTGTATGAATGTGTAGGACTTTATGATAAGTTGATGTAAATTTTAGTTCTTTTACACAGTTGTTACTGTTTTGATAATATAACAAGACAGGACAGTGAATTACCTACATTACTAAGTGCTAGCGTAACATTAAGAAATGGTACAGTTTCATGTACACTAAGAGAATAATAATGCAACATGAAAAAATAAATCCAGATTTTCATGCCAACGTGACAAGCTAATCAAATTAAAGAATCTGAAAATATTTTAGATTAAAACTTGTCTTAACGAACCTTCTAAACGTGTTGTTATTATTGTAATAAGTAATTAACTTCACAGTGTTCCTCATATTTCAAACGTGTTTATATATATCCTTGCATATTTGTGGGGCAGTTATCTCAGCGTATGCCAGATGTTATTAAATATTTTAAGCAATTATTGAACTTATAGCAATTTGGTGTGCTTAATTTAAACAAGTATTGATGTAACTAGTCAAAAGATTAACTTACGAAGAATTCTAACAAGAAACACAGCTATAGTAAGTAATTCATTTATACACATTGTTGGATTTTCATTCTTGACAGTAAAGCTGACCAGTATATAGGTCGGCAAAGTAATATTGCTTCAGGATTGGTTATTTTAAGGTTCTATGTAAGATAAGTGAACGGGATGATAAAGACTTGCCGATATATTGAAGAAAATAAATAAAAGTATACAAAAAAGAGAAAATGCTTGAGAGAGTAATAAGGTATTATAGTTATTAATATGGACAAGACTAATACCTGTTGTTGTTATACGGTAACAGATGCTAGATATGAATTTTATATAAAGTATTAATATTACCCTTTGACAGATTTTATAATGTCACATAATATAAGCCATATGTTAGTCACAGATTCAATGATTTAATTTTGAGACATCTTCCTGTTTTATGCAAAATTTGTGATTTATGCTTTTTCAAACAATAAAGAGGGGGGATTACAAGTTGCTGTAATACAACTGAATGATTTTGCAGTGTCTCCAAGTTATGAGTTAAAACTAGAGACTGTGGCAAGTTCGGTACATCAAACCCCTGCTTCGGTATAGTTTTAATGGCTAAAAGAACTTTATAAACTTGTACCTGTTAAAGACAGGGACCTGCTGACTGTGGTTATAACCCTGTTTAATGATTTCAGTATGGCTTCAATATGGTAATAGAACACACCGAGGCAATCAACTGCATTGCTCTAAGTTTGAATCACAAAAGCTTAAGGTAAGCATTGTTTGCATTTGTACCTGTTATTTTTTATGTAAAGACCTTATCTGTTGTAAACAACTTGATAATTATTAAACTTTGTGTTATAGATGGAATTAGTATTACCCGATTTCTTTACATAATAATATGAGATATGACTTATCCAACATTTTTCCTCATAAATTTATTCATCAATCGTATTCACTGGCTACTATTACAACAAACCTTTCTTTTATGTAAATACTCTGATTTAGGGGACTTTCAGTGATTAAACGAAACTTTAACCAGGTCCAGTTTTACTGTGTTGGCCAGGTAGGCATAAAAAAACCGCCTAGTCGTAGGGCATCAAAATTAAGAAAACGTTTGATATATTTTACTTTTATTAGAAGTAACTATATCACAAGTAGACTCATTTAACACTTCTTGTTTCCTCTTGTAGACCAGGAAACAATTGTTATGAACGTAAGGTAAAGATAATAATGTTTAGACTTGAGAACTGGGATGGTAATTCATAGACTATAGTGAAGTGAATACAGAATTCTTTACCACCAATAAATTTAACTGCTGAAAATTAGTTTGAGTAAAATATTGGAACTTAGAAGTGTATATGACTAGTCTACAACCATGGCTGACGCAGAATGAAACCTCATGGAAGGTGGACACCAAAAAGAAAGCACATGAAATGAGTAAAAAGCAAAATTTTTCTAAAATATTCAAGTACAACTCATAATATTGACATCTAAATACAATACCCAAACTAAAGAAGACAAAACTGATTTTAATAACAATGATTCAGTACAACTCATAATATTGACATCTAAATACAATACCCAAACTAAAGAAGACAAAACTGATTTTAATAACAATGATTCAGTACACGAGAAATTGTAATGTTTTACTCATACAAGTTCCTTACGTTTGATCCCCAGTAGACCCTCTCTCTGCCAATACTGCAACCATTACTTGTCTTTATCGTAAACTTTCATTTCGACCAGTTTGTAATTTTATACAGGATTTTAAAATTCTGTCCCCAGTAGACCCTCTCTCTGCCAATACTGCAACCATTACCACAGAATTTTAAAATCCTGTATAAAATTACAAACTGGTCGAAATGAGAGTTTACGATAAAGACAAATTTGAAGATCGTATGAAGTTCTTTATTTTTTATTCATTTAATTTACTTCTTTTATGTTTTTCTTTATTAAACAAAAGTCAGTTGTAGAATCATAAATTTTTATCTTTTCAATAAAAAGTATCCAATATGAACTAACTTATGTCAAAAATAATAACAAATTAGTAATAATATCAAATACTAACCAAGTACAGTAGTGTAGTTATGTGTGTGTGTATTTGCTGATTGGTGAAAATTTTATTTAAAGTACTTGCATGTGTAAATAGTAGTAGTTACAAATTTGATACTTTTATAATCCCTTTTGAATAAATCACCCTAACAATTCTATCTTAGAATATATTTACTGTATTTTAGAAAATAATTTTCAAAAAAATGTTAGTTGGTGTGTTGTGGCTGTTCATTTTTTTTTCCACTAGAACAAAAGCCTTGGTGTTAGAGCTTCTGGCTGCAATCTGCCTGGTGAAAGGAGGACATGAAATTATTCTGAATGCTTTTGATAAATTTAAGGAAGTCTGTTCAGAAAGGAGAAGATTTAAAACACTTATGGAGTATTTCATGAACTATGAAGATTTTAACATTGATTTCATGGTAAGCTGGATCTTTGGGCTCAGTTTATTGATTGATAGAAATAAGAATACACTTAAATATTAATATAGTTAGGAAACATATACATTGATTAAATATAAGTAATTTATTTTAAGATGCGTGTTTGTTGTGAAGCACAGAGCATTACAATGGGCTATCTGTGTCGTGCCCATCACGAGTACCGAAACTTTGATTTTAGTGGTGTGAGCTAGCAGACTTATCACTGAGCCAATAGAGGGCACTGTAAGTTGTTAATGCACAACTTTATTACTCAATAAATATTATAGTTAGATATAAATCACAGTCAGTAAACTGTCACATTTCCAACATTCCACAAACAGTAGCAAATATAGCCAGTTAGTAATATATCACATTACCATGAAGTGTTACACATTACCCTAACATATTAGGATAAGTATACAGCTTTTTTTATTTCATGTATAAAAATTGTCTGTAAAATTCATGATCATTTGAAACAAGAACTGGTGACATGTTGACATAAGAAAGACTAACAAAATACAGCAGGGTTCTTACCCATAATAATGTTACGTCTTACAAGCTTTTGGAGCTAGGTACTAGTAGGTCATCACATTCAAGCTTTCTTCAACTTTAAATGTTTCACTGTACCAGCTAGCTTAGTGGTCCTTGATGACACATATCCAAATATGAGTACTAAGCTTGAATTTACTCAATGGGGAGGGGGTTGTAGTATTTTAATTGGTGAGTTGTCTTGCGTGGCAGCTCTGTAGTTAGAGAATCGATTCCATTGAGATCCTTCATTCAAATCCTGATTAGGGAAGTTTTCTTCCATGTAAGATTGTTACACCACTTGGTAACGTAGAATTAAAAATGCCTTCCTGTAGGTTGCCTGTATGCAGTTCATTAACATTGTGGTCCACTCTGTCGAAGACATGAACTTCAGAGTGCACTTACAGTACGAATTTACACAACTGGGATTGGACGATTACCTAGAGAAGCTTCGACAATGTGAGAGTGAGGAACTTCAAGTACAGATTTCTGCATATCTTGACAACGTGTTTGATGTTTCTGCTCTCATGGAGGATTCAGAAACTAAAATTGCAGCATTGGAACAGGTGGCTGAACTTGAAGAACTCTTGTCAAGAGTAAGTGTTTTAATTCAAAAATAAAATTAAGCTTATCACCAAAAGTGAGTTGTCAGGGTTTAATTTTGTGTGTAAAGAAAACAGCAAAATTGCTAATGATATAATCTCTGGTAGTAATTGTATTAATTTGTTTATCAATTCATGGTCTTAATACTTATTTTGTTTCTTAATTCCTTTGCTTAGGTATAAGTTTTCAGATTTTTGCTGAGATAAAAAATGGCTCACTCATACTTCTTCACTTTTATAAGTTCATGTAATATGTCTTTTGATTTAAAATTCTGATTACCATCACTAAACATTCTTAACATTTACAAAGAATTAGAATTTGGTAACATTTATCATAAGATATTGAGAAATAGCTATCTAATTTTTTGGCTAATCTAGTTGTTTTATTTATGTTTTTAGGCACACGAAGAATATCTAGAGATGGAGAATGAATTGAATGCAAGACTGGGTAAGATTGTTTTTAAGTTAATATTTTAAACAAAAATATATATATAGGGTTATTATAAGAGCCAGTTAGCCTCTTCTAATGTCAATCAAAAGTAATCAACAGAGAACTATACTATTTGGTAGATAAACTATTGAGATGATGGGAAAGACTATTTCAATACCAAAAATAATCACCACCAAAAAGTGCTGATCACAAAATCTTCCAGTCAGTATGTTAACAATATTCAATGTGATCACCATTCACGTTCAATATTGCTTTCATTCATGAGAGAATGTAATTCACAGCTGAATGATACCGTCCAGTTGCACTTTATTTGGAATCGTATGATATATTTCAGATTTGTGAAAGTAGCAGGCATGTCACATTAAATCAAAAACAAGGTGGTGCCTTAATTAAATATCAATAAAGGTGAGATATGGAGACAGTGTTGATCACATGTGTGAGAAATGTCTGCTGCTCTGCTGATTATTGGATCACTTGATTATACATGCAGTATGAGCCCCATCTTGCAAGAACACGGTTTTCTTTCAACTCTTTTTCTTTGAAGTGTAGGAAAGATAGCATGTACCAAGTTCTGTCAAACACCAATCCTCAGTATTTTAATTTGATTAGAAGCTTCCCATAAGTTTTGTTGTAGCAAGGTCCTCTACGTTCACCACTTTCATGATGATGTTACCTTGCATCAACACCGTTATTATGGGTGTTATAATGCTTTACAGAAATAATGTTAAATAAGATGGCTTTCAGAAGTCATTTCTAATGGGAGACTAAATCCTTTCATATTTGGTGCTGTTTATATACATTCACCGGTATGCAACTAGTACCTCCTGGGAAGTTTATATACATTCACCGGTATGCAACTAGTACCTCCTGGGGAGTTTATAAACATTCACCGGTATGCAATTAATACCTCGTGGGGAGTTTATATACATTCACCTGTATGCAATTAATACCTCCTGGGGAGTTTATATACATTCACCGGTATGCAACTAGTACCTCCTGGGTAGGTTATATACATTCACCGGT